AGCCAGCAAGGCTGGTTGAGGAATTCTGGGAGTTGAAGTCCACCCATCTTAAAGTTGCCAAGGTTGAGGAACCCTGTGTTAAAGTACCCCAGGCAGATGCCTTCACGCCCCTCCTTGAACAGATCCAGCAAAGGGGATCCTCGCAAACTCAGGACATTTTTCTTATTTTTTCATCTTCCATTGTTGTCCAAGGGATCCCACCATCCAGAAAACCCAGGTTTAGAATGTTGTGTGAACGACTCCATTAAGCAAAATGATTGCCTTGACATCTTTTGAGGGGAGAGGGGGCTAGAGATAGGAATGTTTTCTTTGCTGGTGCAAATGGGTATCGAGAGGGGGCTGGAAATGGGTGTTCCCTGCCCCCTTTTGCTTAAGGGCAGGACGTGACCTGCAAGGACGCCCATGCGAGGGAGAAGCCGCTGCACCCCGTTGGGGGCCTTACCCGGAGGAAGGAGTCCAACGAACCATTCTCCATGAATTCGGTGACTATCATGACCGGGGGGCTCTTGGTCACCACCCCTTCCAGGTGGATCACATTGGGGTGGTCAAACTGACCCATGATGCTGGCTTCGCTCAGGAAATCTCGCCGCTGCTTCTCAGTGTACCCTGATTTCAGGGTCTTGATGGCCACGAAACTCTCCCTTTTGCCTGCCAACTTCAGGTGCCCGCTGCACACCTCGCCAAACTCTCCTGGGGGGGGGGGAATCAAGGGTAGAAAAACACGTTTGGCCCCGTGGAACCTCGACTTTCTACATTTCTGTCCCCAAAGATAATTGGACACGGCTTTGTCCTGTCCCTGCCTCTGTTCGATGAACTGTTTCATTCAAGCGAAGATGAGGAGGTGCCCCGTTCATCGTCCCCCCAATGGGGTCCCTTGCAACGTGGGGCCCTCAGTCTCTGCAGATTCATTTCTGTGTCTGTAGAGTCTTAATCCACCCCACAACTGAGATTACAAATTGACCACGAGCAACCATCGTGCCCATAAAACACACCCGACTAGAGTGGGGGAGATGTGAGATTAAGATGAGCTAAAAGCCGCTCTATTCTGGCGTGAGATAAATGAAGTCACCCTCAAGCTGAGCTCCTGGAAACTTCATGAGTAAGGAAGAAGTTTTCCAGGAATATTTCTTTTCAGATTTCCCATAAAAATAAAGAAAAATTACCAGGTCTGACGCTGCAGTCCTGCAATATTGGGGCTCCATTGAGGGTGGGGAGTCAAAAGAGTCGAGATGGTGTCAGTGACTATACCATTGCAGGCGCCATCTTGACTGTTTTGACCCCTTTGGCAGGCAGCCCATAAGAGCTGCCACCTCCCGACCCACATTTCTACCTCAAATGCCTCCAATTCGTACAGGTCATTCCAGTGGGGAAAAAACGGTGGTTGAATGGATTTTCTTGAACCGTTTCAAAAGTCAGCAGCGCAACAGGTAAATTCCCAGCAGCCAGGGTTCCTGATGCTGGCCTTACCTGCCCCGATCACCTGCTCAATTTTGACGCACGAGATGTCGATCTCCTTCGCGAACTCCCGGACGGCCTCATTGGGATCTTCATAGGTGAACGGGTCGATGTAGATCTTCATGCCAGGAGTAACTGCACGGAGGAGAAAAAGCAGATTTCTGTCATTTGCTCATCCCGTTACTCCGTGAGCTTGGGTCAGGGCACCCCAAGTTTATTGGGGGAGAGCTGTTTTGTTCCCCCTCCTGCAACAACCCTGTGAGGTAGGCCAGGCCAAGATTTCGTGATGAGCCAACATCAACCCAGCTTAACCAAGCCCCCTGACCACACTGCCGGGCCTTCACACTTTCTCACACAATTGTAAGAAATGCAACCACTAGATTGTGGTTTCCTGTCACACTCACAACCAAGTAAGCCCTCCCAGTCCTGGCTGGGCCTAATTCTAAGAGAGACCCCCACCCCGCATCAAAAAGGAGGGTGCAAATGATTAAGCACCATCGCTGTGAGTCTACAGTAGTGGCGTTTGCCTCTTGGCGTGCGGGTTATCGCTCTGACGTCAGCCCGGTGGGCAGCGAACGCCGCTCTTCCCACCTGCCCCCGCAGGCCCAGCTCTGCCCCTTCATACATACTGTGGCCACTGGTGTAATGCTGGAGCTTGTCGGTGTACTGAGAATCGGTGCGCTCAAATCCACGTCTTCTGGAAGGAGAGCATCGGGCTGAACGGTAGGCAGATGGACTAGCAGAGCAGGGGGGACAAGGCTGGGCTTCAGCAATCAGCCCAGAGGCAGCGTGTCCTCCCCGTCCCCCCCCCAGCCCCCCAGCCCTTCCTTCTCTGGCGAGGCTGAGCTTGCCCTGCAGGAAAGCCACGTGGAATGGTGCAACTGCAGGCTGAAGGCACGCCGGGTACGCGCAGTGCGCGGTTCGCGCATGGCCTTCTCAGCCACTCCCAACCCACGGGTAAAACCTCTCCCGCACCCCTCCTTCCCACTTCTGAATTCCAGAGGCTCCCTGGCTTCACATCCCTATTTCATCACGAGGGGAAAGGTTGGGGGGGGGTCAGCAGGGCATGGCCAAAAAAGTCAAGGTGGCAGTTGCCATAGTGTAATGGAAGTGCTGCCTGATTTTTACACACACACACACACACACACATCAATTTTATGAAAAGTTTTGCAAAGAACAAAAACTAACACAAACTAATAGAGAGGAGAAGGAAGGAAGGAAGGAAGGAAGGAAGGAAGGAAGGAAGGAAGGAAGGAAATGTCAAAAGAAAGAATAAAAAGAAATAGAAAATTCCAATTTGAAGTGCTGCCCAATTTTTATTCTTTCTATCTATCTATCTATCTATCTGTCTATCTATCTATCTATCTATCCATCCATCCATCCATCCATCCATATTCCTTCCTTCCTTCCTTCCTTCCTTCCTTCCTTCCTTTCTTCCTTCCTTCCTTCCTTCCTTCCTTTCTTCCTTCCTTCCTTCCTTCCTTCCTTTCTTCCTTCCTTCCTTCCTTCCTTCCTTTCTTCCTTCCTTCCTTCCTTCCTTCCTTTCTTCCTTCCTTCCTTCCTTCCTTCCTTTCTTCCTTCCTTCCTTCCTTCCTTCCTTTCTTCCTTCCTTCCTTCCTTCCTTCCTTTCTTCCTTCCTTCCTTCCTTCCTTCCTTTCTTCCTTCCTTCCTTCCTTCCTTCCTTCCTTCCTTCCTTCCATCCATCCATCCATCTCTATTTCCAATTTAGACATTGCCCAACTCCAATTGGCTCTGGACGGTTCACATAAAAATGTAGCTGGTGCTTCAATCACAGCAGGATAGCCCCCATCTTGACTTTTTTGACCACGCCCTGCAGACAGCCCTGACTGGGAGCTCCTCCCGGGGGGGGCTTGCAAATCAAAACATGGGGGCAGCCAGGGAAGCTGCAGAGAGGGGAAAAGGCCACCGACGGCAGGCAACCCAGGAAGGGCGGGACATTCTAACGCTGTCTGGAGCAAGAGGCAGAAAAACAGAAGCCTCCTTGGAACATTCTGCTGCGACCTGCTTTCTCCAGACCTCCCTCCTGGAGGACCCCTTGCTCCAGATCTCAGCCTACCTGTTGCACACGAGGATGATGACCACGAGGGCGATGAGGAAGACCAGCCCTGCCGCCGAAGAGCCGATGATCAGAGGCAGCTTCTCCTGGATGCTGGTCTGGTATTCAGCTGCAACGGCAACACGGAAGAGGGAGAGGAACGGTCAGCCAAGCCCGGTCTGCCTGCACGCTTGGCACAGAGAGGCGGGCAAGGCCTGGCGTTTCTGCCAGGCTGTCGTAGGATCGTAGAATGGAAAGGTTGGAAGGGGCCTGAGAGGTCATCCTATCTAACTCCATCCTCAGGGCAGAAATCCACTCGTGCGGTGTTTGGGATGGACGGCCATCAGCCTTGGTTTAAATACATCCAGCCAGAGGAGCGTGGAACGTTTCCTCCTCTTAGGAAAAGGGTCCCACTGAAATCTACTTCTTGTAATTTCAAGGAATCGTGGAACGGAAGCAGGAAAGGGACATTGGAGATCATGCAGACCAGTGTTTCTCAACCATGGCAAGCTGAAGATGTGTGGACTTCAACTCCCAGAAATCCCCCCCGCACCGGGGCCCGGGGGGGGA